GAGCACAGCACTCAGGGGAATTAAGTTCCAAGTACAGAACTCCCTCAGGACATCTGTCAACCAGACGCATGGGGGACAGGAGGATTTTGAGAGAGCATGACTGGCCCAAGGACACCCAGCAAGCTTCAGGGCAAAATGGGGATCTGAACTTGGCTGTCCCAGATTGACGGTCTAACCCAGGGGTGTCAAACATAGGCCCCAGGCCGTCCAGGACTCTTATCCAGCCCGTGAGCGACTAGTGTGAGGGAGGGAAGGCAGGAGGCTGCTCAGGGGGGCACACGGTGAGGTGTGTGTGGTCAAAGCTGTCAAGAAATGAAAGGAAATGTCTAGGGGGCAAGTATGGTATCCCTTGGGGGGAGAAATAGTCTTGCATATGATTAAATACATTTATGGGGGCTTTTGTGGAGTCCCTGGGAAAATGATGGCTTTCATTCCTAGGAATCAATTGCTTCTGTTGTGTCTTCACCATAGAGAAACCATGTTAAACTTGAACCTCAGCCAGGATTCTAATCTGAAACAATACCATTGGCTGAAGCAGTATTGTAACCAATCAGATGTAAGAGAACTGTGCTGGAGGGAACTGTGTTTATTGGTTGTTATCTCTGTATTATGATCGGACCTTAACTAAGTAACGGTGTGGCTACACCAGCCCGAGATTGTTTAAAAAGGAGCTGTGCTCCACTGTTCGTTGTCGTGTGTCGCTGTGTGATCTTCTCGTTCTTAATAAAGCTGATTCACTTGTTACTTACATCGTTGTTGAGTTGCATACTTAACAGCTTCTGTTTGTATTTTGACTAAAAAATAGTATCAACTGGATCTGCCTGGGTCATTTATAAAGTTTGTGTCTTCGGTACCTGGCATTACATTTTATGGCAGACACGGCCCAGCCCGACAAAGCAACATTTATGTCAGATCCGGCCCTTGTGACAAATGAGTTTGACACCTCTGGTCTAACCCAGGGGTTCCTAACCATTTTGAGCCTGTGGGCACTTTTAGAATTCTGACACAAGGTGGTGGGCACAACCACAAAAAGGCCGCCCTGTGCGGTAGAGAGACACACACATTCATACAGAAGAAGCACAAGTCCAGGGGACAGGAGGAGTAATTTTTTTAAAAATACAGTGGGAAAGGGTGATACAGAGACTAAAATTAACACTGTGGTGGCACCAAGTTATTTCAATGTGCACAGCCAATTGGCTCTCCACTGGCCAATCAGAAGCCCTGCTGGGCAGGAGCCTCGTCTGGCCCCACCCACTTTCCACAAAAACTTGGCAGTCCCCAATAAAAGTCTTGGTGGATGCCACGGTGCCCATGGGCACCACGTTGTGAATCCCTGCTCTAACCACTATCACCACCTTGTTAATGGTTTCAGATCTGTTTTCCCACACTGCTTCTTTTAGCTGGGGAAAGGAGGGGAAATCCACCATGGCCACAGTCCCTTTCCTGGGTCAACCTAGCCAATTCAGATCCCAAATATATATGTATATGAAGTCTGGACTTGGTGCCTCAATTTGCATTACTGTGCATTTACTCATATGTGATTTGCCATCCGATGGCTCATTTATCCAGTTTGGAGACGGTGGTTTGCATTTCTTCACCGCCTTCTTGGGGCTGCCCTTGCAATGTCTTCTGTAAACTTGGTGTCCTTGTGGTTAACCCCTGACTCCAGATCATTTATGAATACAAAATGTGCTCTTCAAGGGCCTTTCCAGATTTTCATATCTTTTTTAACGCAATAAATGCGCCTGTTACTCAATCGTTGCACAGTTATGCCGAGGCATGTTTCCTTGATGGCTGTGCACGTATATATTATTCTCCCAGTTCTGGGAGCACTAGTTTGTCCTGGGGAAACGGAATTTCTTCCCTAAATTGTAATTGGCAGCCGAAAAGCGGTAATGCCAGGGCATCTTGTGAAATGAATGCAGAGAATTTTTTAAACAGAAAATTGGTATGAATCATCTCTTCTCATGAACACTGAGTGTGGGGGGATCCCCTGAGATGGTTAACAGTGAATCTAACTGCTGACGATTCTATCTGGCCCTTGGCAGCCCTATCAAAAATCTGAATCAAGATAAAAACCTTGGGAACGGTTTTGCTTTTAGGTGAAAATTACGTGGTTTTTTTTACAAGTTCAATGACGTGTGTTCATAAGAGAGAGCACCTGGTTAATATCTTTATCTGCTTTTGGATTTTATATGTAATATCCTGTGACGTGAACACTCCAGGCTGCTTATGAAGTTTCGTAAAACTCTGGTGTTAAACAGTCAAGAATGAAAGGACAAAAAATTGAGTCCAAACCCCTTCCTTTCCTAGGATTGCCGTACAGCAGTTGAGCTATAAAGAGAACAAAAGTTACCGTGATCCGTTTACCAATATACTTTCCAGTGCTATATCAATCTTCCATGCTTACTTTAATCATTCTTAATACTCACAGCCATAATCATATAAATATCCTAATCATATACAAATAACCACATACAAATGTTCAGATATGAATATCATAGAATCATAGAGTTGAAAGGGGCTTCCAGGGAAGTGTTCCCTCCAAGCTGAGTTAGTGTGAGCTAGCTCACAGTTTTTTAGCCTCCAGCTCACACATTTTTTGTCTTCGCTCAGGAAGGATGGCACCAGAGCAAAACTTATTTATGCAGTAGCCAAATCGCTTGCCCACTTTGATGTCAGTAGCTCGCAAAGTAGAATTTTTGCTCACAAGACTCCACAGCTTAGGGGGACCATCGCTCCAGGGTCATCTAGTCCAACGCCAAACATCAAACCTGTCCTTGAAATGATACTCCAAGGACACCGCATAAATGAAAAGAATCCTCAGGAAAAAATCTCACAACTGTAAATCGTAGCTATTCATTGTTCCCCTAGGGAGACTCCCAGAACTTCAGCACTTTTCCAATATGTGTATGTAGAAATCCACTTCTGTATTCCAGTTAGCAGGTCCAAAGGGAATCCACTTAGCAACAGGTGCACAGCACTTCTGTTTACAAAAGGTCCCAGCGACGAACAGTCGACTTGAATTGCCCGTTTCTCACACACCTGTTTCCTCACAGTAGGGACATCAAAGCAAGCATATCTTTTCTGCTATCAATATCCAGTGTTTGTCATTCAAGACTGAAATCTCCAAAGTGTTATCTTGCTAGTCAGCATCCCGACTGACTTACGGCCATGTCGGGTTTTCAAGGCAAGAGCCGTTCAGAGGTGTTTTGCCATAGCCTGGCTCTGCACCACGACCCTGACAATCCTTGGAGGTCGCCCATCCAAATACTGACCAGGGCCAGCCCTGCTTGGCTTCCAAGATCTGATGAGATCAGGCTAGCCTTGGCTATCCAGGTCACGGCAACAGCAGAATAGAAATATTTTAATTAAAAAAAGAGGCCACGTGACCAATGTTCCCTCTAAGCTGTGGAGTCTTGTGAGCAAAAATTCTACTTTGTGAGCTGCTGGCATTAAAGTTGTGAGTGAGCGATTTGGCTGCTGCATAAATTAGTCTGCTCTGGAGCCCTCCTTCCTGAGCTAAGACAAAAATGTGTGAGCCGGAGGCTAAAAATCTGTGAGCTAGCTCGCACCGACTCAGCTTAGAGGGAACTATGCACGTGACCCTATTCTGCTTAGTCTTTCCTTTTCCCTCTCTTCTTCACCAACAAGCCCAGCTGTTACTGATAAAGGGAGGACTCTCTGTACTGCAACATTACTGGCATTTACACACCGTGTTGCCTCCAAGAAGCTCCTAGTTGTGTTCCTGACCGTTATCTCGTTCCCCCCCCCTCACAACCAGTTATCTCGTTTCCCCCACCTCAGGAGAGGTGTTCCCTCTTGTGTAAGGAATAGAGTTGCCAACAGGCCTGGAGAAAAGTGTTCTGTCACTTTACTAGGATGTTATTTATCAGGGAATGTTATCTCCCTCCATGGCATTGCAACCAACATTCCCTCTCAGCTGAGGGACCTGCTACTTTTAGTACAACCCCTAAGTGGCGTTACAGTGTGAGCCAGCTCACCGTTTTTTTAGCCTCCGGCTCACACTTTTTTGTCTTCGCTCAGGAAGGATGGCTCCAGAGGAAACAATTTATGCAGCAGCCAAATCGCTCACTCACGACTTTAATGCCGGTAGCTTGCAAAGTAAGAATTTTTGCTCACAGGACTCCACAGCTTAGACGGAACATTGATTGAAAGTTGAAACTGCCTATTTTCACACATTGGGAGGGAAGGCACAGACAGCATCATGGTATAATGCTGATCTGGTGAAATCTCGGATGCTAACCAAGGACTCGGAAAGGAGACCACCGAGGAAGCCTCTGCAGAGGAAGGCGATGGCCAACCACCTCTGCTTAACCTCTTTCCTTGGAAGCCCCTTGCTGGCTTAGGGGTTGTACTAAAAGTAGCAGGTCCCTCAACTGAGAGGGAATGTTGGTTGCAATGCCATGGAGGCAAATAACATTCCCTGATAAATTAAGCCAGTTGTAATTTGAGGGCACTCAGTCCACACAGACATTTTCACACCCAGATCTCCAGGAATTTCCCAGGCCAGAGTTGGCAACCGTACTTGAGTCCATCTCTGTCCTCCTAATTGGCAGCCACGCTCTAACTCAGGGCACAGCAGGGCAGGGCAGGCCCAGGCCGGGGTTTCTTTCTAGTGTTTTGAACCCTGTTCCTTCCAGTAAAGGCATGCCCGCACATGCCCTGGTTTCCTTCCCGGGGACCAAGGCGCGTTGCCTTTTCCCCGGCCTTTGGGCCGCCTCCTCCTCCGATAGGCATTCGGTTTCCTCCCTCCGCGCTGCCCTTTCCCCCACCCCCCCCCCCCCCCCCGGTTGAAGTCAGAGGCATTTCCCCGGCCTCGCCAGCCAGCCAGCCAACAGCGGCTCCCCCCTCGAGGCACGTTTGATGCGTCAGCGCTGGGATTCCCTGGCGCGTCTCTTGCTGACTCAAGGCCCCGGGGATGGCCCGGCTTAAAAAGCCTCCGTCGGGCTCGGAGGGCTCAGATCGCCTGGCGCAGGGGGAAGCAAGTCTAGCAGAGCGGGACGGAAGGGAGGGGGGCCTGCTTTTTCTATTTATTGCGGTTCTCGGTTCGGATGATGGGCAAGCTGAGGGGCGCCCTGATGCCCGTGGATCCTATTGGCAACGCCGGATTGCTCTGCCAGGCCTGCGGCTTCCTCCTCATCAACCCCCAGCAGGCGGAGTGCGGCCACCGCTACTGCCTGGGCTGCGTGAAGAGGCTCTTCAGGTCGGTGGCGGGGCTGCCTCGAGGGTGGGGTAGGGTGGGGTGGGGTGGGGGGATCTGGTGCCAGAGCCCGCCGGTGATCTTCTTGCTTTTCCACCTGGGATCTTCTTCCTCCTGATGTTTCTCAAGCAGCTTCTTCTCTCCAGGGCAAAGTGGTTGTTTTCCTTTCCTTTGTGGACTTGCCTTGTTCTGGGTTAGAGCGCTGGCCCACCTAGCTTTAGCATTAGAACGAAGTCGGAGTCCGGTGGCACCTCTGAGTTTATTCTGGGCATAAGCGTTTCCTGGGCAGGCACACTTCTTTACCTTCCCTGCCGGTAGCTCTCTCTGGGCAGTCTTCTTGGGCAGTGAAAGATCTGCCCCTTCAGCTGGAGTTGTCAGGGATTGAAGTTGGGGCCTTCTGGGCCACTGAAGAGGATTTCCCTCGGCATGAATTGTTGGTGTTTTATTGGAATGATAATTGTTATGAGGACAAGCCCCTCTCTTGTTGATTGAAGGTGGCGGCACTGGCGAGCAATTTCAGTTGGCAAGGTCAAAACGGAGGTGTATGCATGTACTTTGAACACAGGATGCCCCCTGGTTTTTATCTGTGGGGTGAGGCAAGATCCCCCGCCCAGGTATTTGGCAGAGGTGCTAACCAGTGCTCTGTCTAAGCTGTGGAGTCTTGTGAGCAAATATTCTACTTTGTGAGCTACTGGCATTAAAGTTGTGAGCGAGCGATTTGGCTACCGCATAAATTAGTTTACTCTGGAGCCATCCTTCCTTCTTCTTTTTTTTTAAACAAAATTTTTATTCAGGATATAATCAATCACAACCAACATTAATTTTACATTTATACCCTTTACATCCTACCCACCTCCCTTTTTCCTCCCCTATATGGCTTCCCACACTGCTACGACCTCCTGTATATTGCTTAACCTCTTCTCCTCCATCTATTTCCTCATTACACGTTCACTAGGTAACTGTTATTCGACTATTACAATTATTATCTCTATCATTTCTTGTTACTAACATTCAATATTCTGGAGCCATCCCTTCCTGAGCGAAGACAAAAAGGTGCGAGCCGGAGGCTAAAAAAACTGTGAGCTAGCTCACACTGACTCAGCTTAGAGGGAACACTGTGGCTATCCTGCATGTTTTATGTGCTATCTAGTCACTTCTTTTTTTCTCATTAACATTTTATTGTTAGGATTAAAACAATAAAACAAATATAACAATAAAAATATACATAAAGGTCATAAGAACAGTTATACATTCAAACCAACACACTAATTACAAAAAAGTAAGCTTTAAAGAATGATACATTCTTCAATAAATCTTTGAACAAAGTAACTTATTTTAGCCTCAATTTGTAATTGATGCCTGTACTGTTTGTTGCTTTAGATACAACCAAGTGTCTTCTGCCCTCAAGAATATCTGTAGACATTCAATGATATATCTAACCATATTAAACACAAAGTACTACCCACAAATCAAGTTTTACCAAAGCCTACTTACTATACTTTATTTGAACCATAAAAAAATCCTCACAACCATTTAACATAGTTATCCCAGGATGCTGAGATAAATTTTTTTGTCTGATAGAGCTTCTAAAATTGGCAACCATTTAGCTTCGAACCCAAAATGTACAACGTTCCTTTTATTTCTGTTAACTTTATCAGTGATGCTTTCCATAATGAACTGATTCCACAGCTTCACTTCTGACTTATGGCAACTTGTTATTGCCCTGCGCTGGATAGCCCAGACTAGCCCGGTCTTGTGAGATCTCACAAGGTTAAGCAGGATCAGCCCTGTCTAATATTTGGATGGGAGGCCTCCAAGGAATACCAGGGTAGTGATGCAGAGGGAGGCAATGGCAAACCACCTCTGAACATCTCTTGCCTTGAAAACCCTACCGGGTCACTATAACTCAGCTGTGACTTGGTGGCACTCTCCACCATCATGAATTTATGACCTCTGAAATGACCTACGGTTTTAATAGCCTTGCTTGGGTCTTGCAAACCGAAGGCCGTCCATGGCTTCTTTTATCAAGTCGACCTATCACATCTTAGGTCTTCTTCCTAACCTTATTGTCTCTTCCAATGAGTCCTTCTCATGATGGGACCAAATTATGATAGCCTCAGTTCTGGGTTATTAATTTATTAATTTTAGCTTCCAGCGATAATTCAGTCTTGATTTGGTCTAGAAGCCACTTATTTTTATATATATATATTGGCTTGCATGACCAGTAGTCTTAAGCACACATACACATTTGTGCAATAAAAACAACAAGTAAAACATCAACACTATTTAAAAAGCTCATACCTGGACAATAGGGTACGTTATCCCAATATGAGTGTGTTACACTGGCTAAAATCGTCAAACCACATGAGATAATTCTTCCAACTGGTACCCGCTACATCAAATCAGAACAGTTTGAACTTTCCCCACCTTGTTCCTTTTTTTTTTTTTTTGCCACCAGGGCCAAAAACATGGCCACTGCTTTGGTGACTGAATCAGCTCTGTCAGATAAAAGAACAGAAATTGACCAGGGAAGGGAGGGGAGATTTTCTTTTATCAAGATAGGTATAATATACTTCTGCCTCTCATCTTCCAGTTGGGGCAAGCTAGCACTATGTGATCCATTGTCTCCACCCTGCCTAGGCTACAGTCGCACAGCCGTTCAGAGAACGTTAATCAAGTACTGCTTCCTCTCTCTAGCTTTTACCTATATGTGTGCTCCTGGTGGGTTGTCCCCTTTTTATTTAAAAACAACGCTTCTTGGACGGTTTGCCTGTTTATTCATTGGCTTGCTTTGAAACGATCTAATGGGTTAGGTTCATGAGGTCCAGAGCCCGCTTCTGTGATGTAAATGCCAAGAGCAGAGATGCGTTGAAGGCACAAATGTATAGAAGTGGCCTGGCCCATTACAAGTCATGTTTGGTGACCATTTGGAATAGATGATATGCCAAGGATTGACAGTACATACAAACATCTTTGATTAGCTCGTGAACAGTATTCGGAATGAACAACAGGTGTAGAGGATTTGTGTATGTGTGCAAAGAATAAAGGGTGGAGGATATGCACAGATGAGAAAGTGGAGTTTTGTGGGTGGGAGGGGGAAGAGACCTTCAGAGCCAACATTTCTATTTCAGTTTGCATGATATTAAGTTTCCATGTTTCTTCCTGCCACAGGGACACAGACAAGACGGTGTGTCATGCTTGTAGGCAAGGCCTGAGCCCCAAACAGGTGAGTGGAACTCCAGCAAACCTCAGGCCCAAACAACTTCTGACCTTAAATGCACCGTTGCCACTGAAAAACTTTGTTTGATTTCCTCTTGCCACTCCATAACATGGAGAGGAGACTGTGTCTTGATTTTACGACATTGTGCCGTTCCTTGCCTCATATTGTTGGCTGCCATTGGTTTGGGCCGGGGGGAAAAGATGGGAAAGCGGTCCTAGGAGTCAGGACAAGCCCGTAGCTTCGGTGGGGCATCTCGGGGCTAGGCCCCCTGACTTCCCATCCAGCGGCGGCAGGTGTGGGGAAGGAGCCGGGTGTTCCTTTAATACAATCCAGTGCCCCCTAAGAAATTTAAATGCTCCTTGACTTAAAAAATCCTGGCTATGGGCCTGAGTCAGGATGGTGGTGAAACAGGTGGCTGCCATTTTCACTGGCAGTAATGCGTTTGAGATATAAGTTGTTTGGCCCGTAGTCAGAGGCTGCGTATGTAGCTCTGCGGTGAAAGGATATGGGCCAGGCTTTCGAATAATCAGCTAAAACCCTGAATTTCTCTCTCTCTCTCCCTCCCCCCTCAGTTCCACAGTGACAAAGCTGCGGAGAATGATGCGCTCATCACAGAAGTGGCTTGCCCAAATTTTGGCTGCACCTGGTCTGGAACTCTGAAATCCTATCAGGTATCTAATGAAGATCCTTTCTCCCTCCTTCCCCTCCTTTTTTTTAAAATGTTTTTTTTTATTTTTTTCAATTTTTAACAATTCTAACACTTCAAACAGTGAACAATTAATCTTCCAATTACATTCACATCTTGTAAATAGTTCCTGAGTATGTACAACGTTATAACATGTTCAAAGAATTACAGGGCTCTTGGAAGTGAGGGGGTTCAGAGCGTTTTCAGGACCGCCCTTTCCTTCCACCTCTTTTTTCATAGTGTTCAATAACATACTGCCTTCTTCGAAACAAAAAGCATGGGTTGCTATGAAATTTCAGGTTAGGCTTTCACAGGATCACCTTGGGGAGAGGCCATGGTTCATTGGCAGAGAATCTGCTTGGCATGCAGAAGGTCCCAGTTTCAGTTTCTAGTTAGAATGGCCAGGGAGTCAGTGATGTGGAAGGACTCTGCCTGAGACCCTGGAGAGCGGCTGCCAGTAGTAGGCGCTGACCTCAATGGTCTGATTCTGTATCGGGTGGCTTCATGTTTGGTGTAGTGGTTAAGTGTGCAGACTCAAATCTGGGAGAACCGGGTGTGATTCCCCACTCCTCCACTTGCACCTGGCTGGATGACCTTGGGCAAGCCGTAGTTCTGATAATGAGCTGTTCTTGAAAAAGAGCATTTTCTGTCAGAGCTCTCTCGTCCCCAGGGTGTCTGTTGTGGGGAGGGGAAGGGAAAGGAGTTTGTAAGCCGCTCTGAGACACCTTTGGGTAGTGAAGGGCGGGGTATAAATCCAATCTCTTCTCTTCTTCTTCATGTTCTTACCTTTTTGGCTCCTCTCTCTGCAATGAGCCTTTGATGGTCTCCCGCTGGGCTGGGAGGAAGGCTCTTCCCCAAGTCAAAGGCCCGCTCTGAGAAGTCACCCTCTAAGTTTACGCACTCCAGGATGCAAACTGTGAGCCAGAAAATCCTCGGCTACAAAGAGATCACTAGACAGACTTCAGCGGATCATTTTATCACAGCCTCGACCCTGGGGGGAGGGAATAACACTGGCCTACCTTGTAGGGTTGGTTACTTGTAGGATTGGTTACTGAGATTATAGCCGAAACATGTCGAACGCTTGAATTGCGCCCTATAAACCAATCATAATTCCTGGTCAGCTTAGAAGAATACTGCCTGCATGTTTTCCTGACTATCCGCATAGATAAAAGAGACAGAGACTTTCACTTTTTTGAAAGCTGGAAAATGATGAAAGAAGCCTGGGGTATTTCTGCTCTACAGATTTTAACGGTTTCCAACAGCCAATGCCGATCCCCTTAGAAATTTCTAGATTTTCCTCCTGAACTATAATTTTTCTACAGAGGTTGCTCACTCAAACGACAGGATTTTGAAGCCCTTGTGATTCAACTGGTATAAAATTGATATGTGTTTGTACTGTAGTTCTGTCTCAGACCTGGTTTCTCTGGATCAGGGCTGGCTCAAATGACTGAGCTGTGTCAAGTTCAATCTCCTCTCATGCTGCCCTGGCAGGGTCCAGGGTGGGTTGCCAAGGAAGCACTTCTGCAGCACACCCAGGGCACCAGTGCCGGTGGGCGAGCTGACGAGGGGTAGAAGCCACACCCGTCGCTTCCTCCCACTGGCTGCTCCCAACCAAGCAGGTGGTGGTGGGGTGAACCAACCCCTGTCCAGATCTGCCCCGAGAGCTCTGGCTGGCAGCCCATTCACTAAGGGGAAATGGCTGTCGTAGCTGGACAGAAATGGCTGCCTGTGCAAAGCGGATGGAAAGTAATTTCTCTCACTCCCCGCCACGCCTTCAACCTCCCTGATTCTCTGGCTTGTTCTGATGCAGGAGCACGTTTGCCCCCCTGTGGCTCAGTTTGGAATTGCAAAGGAATCAGCCTTGGCTCTTGGGGATCAAGAGGCTGTTGAGGAAAAGAAACTCACCTGGAGCGACAAAAACACCAGCGTGGTAAGTTGTGTAGGCCAAGTTGCTCGGGATGTGGGAGAAGATTCAGCAAAGCAAATGTAGATGTCAGACCCTATACACACACACACACACACTAATTTGTAGGGTTGTGTAGGAGAAAATCAAAAATCAAAATAAGACTTCATCTACTTATGGGAAGTTCTTATCATAGAGTTCCTGGTGATTCCTAGAGCTACCTGGAAATGACAAAGAGTAGCTCTAGGATTCAACAGAGACTCTACATAAAAATCAGAAGTTCTTACAATACGGCTTCCAGTGATTCCTAGAGCTACCCTTTGTCAGTCCTGGGTAGATCTAGGAATTGCCAGAAACTCTATGGTAGGAGCCTCCTGTAAGTAGACAAGGCCTTATTTTTCTTCTTAACAGGACCGGGGGGCAGGGTATCCCCTCCTCCATCAGGGGCTTGGCAGCACTATTAATTTACCACTTTTGAGAAAAGTGGATCACAATTTTCTATCTTTTAGCCTATCCTAAAGGCAAGGATGGGTGGGGGTAAGAAACAGGAGCAAGGCTCCTTTGTTGCATAGACAAGGTCAGCAAGCCTGACCTGGAAGCTTTTTATGGGGGTCAAGCCTGGCAGTGTAGCCTGCTCTGGCTTGCTTTGTTGGCCATCCTCTAGCTCCCTCTGGTGGCCACAAATTGGGTGGCGCTCACAGACCCAATCTCCACTGGGTTAATCCCTCGTGATCCAGGTTCAAGGGACCAGTTGCGGGCTTGAGTCCTTCAACCAAACATGGATCCCGAAGTCAACTGTCTAATCTCTCCACTCCGTAGGGCAACTCTTCTTTGAACACGGAAGCTGTCCTGTTGCGTGTGGAGTCCCTGGAGCTGATGGTGGTCTCTCTGCGGCGGCAGCTGAAAAGCCAGGAGGCCATGGTGAAGTCTCTCCAGCGCTGCTGTTCCCAGCATGAGAAGCTACTGAAAACCTCCCCGGAAGCCCACAGGAGCTCCAGAGAGTCCACACCAAAGTCGTCGGAGCTGATCAGCACCAACGGAACCCTGGTGTGGAAAGTGGAGAACTTCTCCAAGCTCTTGAGGGACGCCACTTCCGGGAAGAAGCGTTCAGTCTACTCCCCGGTCTTTGCTACCCACGCTTTCGGGTACCACCTCTGTGTCCGGATGTACCCCGACGGAGACGGCACCGGCAAGGGCAGCCACCTGTCCCTCTTCCTCGCCATAGCCAAGGGGCCCTACGATGACGTCCTGCCGTGGCCCTTTCAGCAAAAGGTCACCTTCATCCTCCTGGACCCCACGCGAAGGCAGCCGCCCCGGAAGGAGACCTTCCTGCCGGATCCCCACAGCGCCTCCTTCCACCAGCCCCACGAGAGGCTCAACGTTGCCAGTGGGAGCCCCCTCTTTGCCAGCAGAGCACAGATTCCCAGCTACCTCAAGGACGACGCGCTCTATCTCAAGGTCGTGGTGGATCCAGCCGGAATGGACGTTTGAGGGCAAAGGTCTACGAGGCAGGATGAATGGTTGTCCTCGGACCCGTCCCTTTCCAATGCGCTTCCCGATCTCCTTCCCTTCTGCCTGTCCTCTCCACTGTCACCACTACAGTCCCCCATTCCAGTATTGGGTATTCAGCTACCTCTTTTGAGACTCTCAAATCTTTGTTCTGTGAATTATGAAATATCAGCCTGTGAAATACACTCAGGTAAATCTTCTGAGCTTTGCAAGATGGCCGTTGCCCCTTTCACTTCTGACACATTTGTGGAAATCTGCTCTTGCTAAATGCACTGTTCCCGGTGGCCGCTTTGGGTAGGTCTTCAAGGGTGCGTTACACACCATGTGCTGTAGTGGTTAGAGCAGGGGTGTCGAACATAAGGCCCGGGAGACAGACTCTGCCCATCCAGGGCTCTTTTCCCAATGCAATATCGGAGCAGGATGGTTTCCCCCCCCCCTCCTGACATCTCCTTGTGAGGCTTTCTAGTCCCTCTGTGTGTGTGTGTGTGTGTTCATGAGCATGTGTGAATGCCCTTGGAGATACAAATTCAACTTATGCTGCTGTGTGTGGGTGTTTTCCTGTTGCTTAGCATCGGGATACAGCTGAGAGTGATTATATATTTTTTTAAAAAACTCAGATTAGTATTTGTTAATCATCTGTACTGCACTTTAAAAAGCAACGCACCAGGCTCTGCAGTCCCGATTGCTGAGAATCTTAAGTGCTTGGCTACGATGACAGTGCTTTCTACCTCACAGATCTATTTATTGAAAGCAATTTAGGTATTTATTATGTAATAACAGTACACATTTATTATGCAGATTGCAATATTAAACATTATTTATACGATTGGCTGTCTTATGCTGGTTACTTTTTAGTAGTTAAGCGCATGGACTGTAATCTGGGAGAGCTGTGTTTGTTTCCCCACTCCTCCACATGCAGCTGCTGGTGTGACGTTGGGTCAGCCACAAGTTCTCTCAGAGCTGTTCTCTCAAGAGCTAGTTTGTTGTAGTGGTTAAGTGCGTGGACTCTAATCTGGGAGAACCGGGTTTGATTCCCCACTCCTCCACTTGCACCTGGCTGGATGACCTTGGGCAAGCCGTAGTTCTGATAAGAGCTGTTCTTGAAAAAAGAGCAGTTTCTGTCAAGAGTTCTCTCAGCCCCACCTACCTCACAGGGTGTCTGTTGTGGGGATGGGAAGGGAAAGGAGTTTGTAAGCCGCTCTGAGACACCTTTGGGTAGTGAAGGGCGGGGTATAAATCCAATCTCTTCTCTTCTTCTTCAAGAGCAGTTCTCGAGAGAGAGCCCTCTGAGCCCTGCCTACCTCCCAGCCAGTGCTCCCTCTAAGCTGTGGAGTCTTGTGAGCAAAAATATGTGAGCCGGAGGCTAAAAAACTGTGAGCTGGCTCACACTGACTCAGCTTAGAGGGAACACTGCTCACAGGGTGCCCGTTGTGGGGAGGGGGAAGGGAAAGGAGATTGTCAGCCGCTCTGAGACTCTGATTGAAGCTTGGGCTATAAATCCAATCTCCTCCTCCTCTTTCTTGTGCCGTCAAGTCCCAGCTGGCTTACAGCGACCCCGTTGGTTTTTCAAAGCAGGAGACCATTCAGCGGTGGTTTGCCACGGCCTGCCTCTGTGGCAGAGATCCTGCGGTATTCCTGGGTAGTCTCCGGTCCCCGTACTAACCAGGGCCGACCCTGCTTAGTTTCCAGGATCTGACGAGAGGTCAGGATGCTGGTTATTGGAAGGGAGGTGGGAGCACGACTGTATGCCCAGCAGGGCACTGTTAGCTATTGAGCTCCATCGATGATGGTGGCGGCGGTCATGGTGGGAAATGTAGTCAAGTCGCAGCTGATTTATGGCAATCCAGAAGTGCTTTCGAGGCAAGAGGTGTCCAGAGGTGGTTTGCCATGGCCTGCCTCTGCCCAGCAACGCTGAACTTCCTTGGTGGTCTCCCATCCACGTACTCACCAGGGTCGACCCTACTAAGCTCACGAGATCTGACCAGGCCCTCCGGTTAAGGCTACCCCTTTAAACATTACGGGAGATCAGTTCACAGACTGGAGAGAAATCTGGCCCCATGTTACCAACCCCCTCCTCCCCCTGAAAAGCCAGCAAAAGCCAATCATGGCCCACCTTGCTAGGAAGCCCATTGACGGTTTTCCCTGGGTTTTGACAACAAAGTAAACAGAATAAGGAGCAAAAGGTGAGCGTGGTAACATGGGGGTGTGGCCTAATATGCTAATGAGCTGTGATGCCAGGGTGTGGCTTAATATGCTAATTTGTTTCTGCTATTGGGTGTGGCCTATTATGCTAATAAGTTCCTACTGGACTTTTTCTACAAAAAAAGGCCCTGCCTCCAAGTGTGAAGCATGGCTGACCCCCTCCCCCCCTGAGATCTGATGAGATCAAGCCAGCCTGGGCTATCCAGGTCCAGGTGAAAGCATTTGCCACAGAGGAAGGCTTTTAGCCAAAACGCGTTTGGTTCTTGTATATGGTTAGGTTTTGTACCTTTTAGAAGAGAAGAGAAGAGAAGAGATTGGATTTATACCCCGCCCTTCACTTGGAGTCTCAGAGCGGCTTACAAACTCCTTTCCCTTCCCCTCCCCACAACAGACACCCTGTGAGGTGGGCGGGGCTGAGAGAGCTCTGACACAAACGGCTCTTTTTCAAGAACAGCTGTGCCAGAGCTTGTGACTGACCCAAGGTCACATCAGCAGGTGCAAGTGGAGGAGTGGGGAATCAAACCCGGTTCTCCCAGATTAGAGTCTGCGCACTTAACCACTACACCAAACTACACCAAAACCTGTATTTATATGTTTAGACATTCGTCTGTATATTAGGTAAAGGCACTTATATGCAGAACTGTAGGAATGTGGTTTTTAAATTATATTTTAACACTTGTAAATGTATAATTAAATTATATTTGATATTTTGTGTATTAGCACTGTGTGCCTAGCTGTATTTCAGTTTCGTTTTTTGGTCTCCACCTTTTCATAAGAACATAAGAGACGCCAATGTTGGATCAGGCCAAAGGCCCATCCAGTCCAACACTCTGTGTCACACAGTGGCCAAAAATACCAGGTGCCATCAGGAGGTCCACCAGTGGGGCCAGGACATTAGAAGCCCTCCCACTATTGACCCCCCCCCAAGCACCAAGAAGACAGAGCATCACTTGCCCCAGAGCCCCTATCTATACCTTGTGGCTAATAGCCACTGATGGACCTCTGCTCCATATGCTTATATTTTCGGTTACCTTTCTCCGTGTCTTAAGTGCCTGCAACTGCAGCTACGCATTGTTTTATTTAATCTGTCCTGATTAGGGTTGCCAGGTCCAATGGGAAATGCTGGTGGGGGGGGGGATGGGGGGATGTACTGGGAGCCGGAAGTGACATCATGCAATGTACCTATGGTCCTTTCCGCACTAGACCTTAAATCCTGGTCCAGCCCTGTCCCCGAACGTACATTCTACACTACATGCAAGTTCACCCCTCTAATTATCTCACGGTATTTTCTGTTTCCACATGACACTGAGGTCAGTGTTCCCACTAAGCTGAGTTAGTGTGAGCTAGCTCATAGTTTTTTAGCCTCCGGCCAACACATGTATTTGTCTCAGCTCAGGAAGGATGGCTTCCGAGCAAACTAATTTATGCAGTAGCCAGATTTTAACGCTAGCAGCTCACAAAGTAGAACTTTTGCTCACAAGACTCCACAGCTTAGGGGAGCATTGATTGAGGTCACCCCAGTTTCGCCCCACACTTGTCCCGGGATTTCGTTATAACCAGGGATATATGCAAGGTATTGTGTCACGAGTTGAACTTTGATAAAACCAGGGATGAGATCCAAGTGCGGAAAGGACCAGTGTCACCCAGAAGTGTAGGCATGTTGGTGATGTTGAGGGTGACACTGCTTTTTGGGCAAAACTTTATGGTAAAATCAGCCTCAAACCATAGAGTTTTGCCCAAACACCAGAGTGTCCCCCCTGACGTCACCGACAGGCCTACATCACTTCCGGGTGACATATAGGCACATCACATTTATTTCTGGTGATGTCGCTGTGTGTGTGTGTGTGAGTTTCCTCCAGCCAGCTGGTGGCGGGCAGGAGCCCGCAAAACCAGGGAATCCCCCGCCCCCAACTGGGGAATGGACACCCTAATCCTGATCCGCCAGAGAGGATCTTTCTTTAGCCAGCCACCTGCCTGCCCCTCTTTCCCATCCCCACATGCTTAGTGTCACATTTACTGATAATCGACATGTGGATCCATAAAGTTTCTGCAGCCCAAACACTGGCTGGTATGAGTTCTTTCTTGGGAAGTGGCACACACAAGAGCTCACAATAAGGTAATAAATGGACTCAGGACCCCGATGCATGTGTTAATCACTCTTTGAGTGAAGAAGTACTTTCTTTATTTGTTATTTATTTATTACTTTGGTTTTTACCCTCCCCACCCCGCCACGGCAGGCTCAGGGTGGCTTACAAAGAAAACAATAGTTAAAACAATAATATCAAATCAATATCAAATACACAATAAAATAGCACTTCTAACAGGGCCAGTTTTTGGGTGGGCTGGCAACGAGTGTCAAGGCCTCCCCCCCTGCCTACCGCCGGTATCTCCCCTGCTCACTATTGCGGATATGTAATTAACACAGCATGGTTGTTCCAGTCATAGAAGTGTGATATTGCGCACAGTAAAATAAATCTCCCAAGAAGTATGTTGCAAAAGTAAAATTCGCGTTTATTCAGGTAGATTCAGTTCACATGCAGGTTGCAGTCGGAAAGGAGAGGAAGAAGACTAATCATCACATGCAGGTTGCAGTCGGAAAGGAGAGAACGAAGACTAATCAAAAGAATACTACTCCCTTTCACAAATGGCCAGCTAAATCCAGCACCGTGGATGTGGAGGTATGAGGGCCCTGTTTCTACAGGTGAGACACCTGTAGAAATGTGCAACTCCATGAGGCAAAGGGATAGAGAACAAAGGGCACAGGACGAGAGGAGGGGTCAGAGAGCAGCTCCCGGCTTAAGACAAAGGGAGGCCTCCCTCCCTCCCACATGCCACCCACGCCACAGTCCTCTCAGAGCTCTCTCAGCCCCACCTGCCTCACAGGCAATGTTCCCTCTAAGCTGTGGAGTGTTCTGAGCAAAAATCCTACCTAATGAGCTACTGGCATTAAAGTTGTGAGTGAGCGATTTGGCTCCTGCATAAATTAGTTTGCTCTGGAGCCATCCTTCCTGAGCTAAGACAAAAATGTGTGAGCCGGAAGCTAAAAAACTGTGAGCTAGCTCACACTAACTCAGCTTAGAGGGAACACTACTCACAGGGTGCCTGTTGTGGGGAGAGGAAGGGAAAGGGGATCGTAAGACTCCTTCGGGTAGTGAAGGGCAGGGTATAAAAACCAACTCTGCTCCTCCTCCTCCTGCCACCTGTACTCACAGCTACCTTCACCGCCTGCAGCACTTGCAAGAGGGGCCGGG